GCATGAACCTGACCCACATGCGCTAATTACGCAAGGGCGGCTAGGCGCGGCTAGGCCAGTAATTAAACCAATGGAGGCCGATTAGAACGACCCCCTTCCCCTTCCCCTCCCCCTATTCCCTCGCGTGCCCCGGCGCCTTTCCGACCGGCCCGAGCCGCCCGGCCAACTGATCCACTGACTCTTCGACGGGCCCAGTCTCGGCCGGGCAGAGCGGCCCGGCCTGGCCTGGCCTCGGAGTCTCCTCGACGGTCGTACGACGACCCGGCGGCGCTGACACGCTCAGACACTGTTGAGACCCCGCGTCGAAACTCCAGACCAATTTGCTTCACTTCAAAAAACCTCTGCTGAGAGCTTTGCTTCAGCTCAGGGCCAGGTCAAGCTTGGGTGTGCGCGGCCGCGGTCCTGGTGGCGTTGGCCGGGAGGCGCCGGGCTCTGTTTCGGCCTAGCTGTGGCCGCGGTTTTGTTTCACTTGCGAACTGATGCCCGTGATTGCGCACAGAACGCATCACGCACGCTGAATATTCCCTACCGTCACATTTTTGTGTTGCTTGCTATCAAAATTGCCGTCTCATCATGAGCTATTGGCCTGTCACACTCTCAAAACAATTGGTGTGGTTGCGTACAAAATGCATCGCGAAGACTGAAGTCTTCCATATTGACGGCCGAAAAAATTGGGGGCTCGCTGAGCGCCGTTTATGACGGCTCGAACAGGGGCCGCGGCTAGGGCTGGGGTTCAGACTTTCCTCGATTTCCCTGGTAAGCTTTTTCCGACGTACGGTTCAGTGAAAAGCCGGTATTTGCCACCGCCGGTTTTTGCAAGCGACCGGTCTTTAAAGCATCAAAGACAGTGCTATCGGTAAGGTCTACGTGTACCTATCGTTATTTGCAAAGTCTGAAGATACGTAGCGCTAATTACGGATTTTTCTCTGAATGGCTTGCACATTAAATGACAATTACAAGATTCTTACCGTGTCTTTCGAAAACTTGGTTTCGGTTGTCGTTTTCGATTCCAAAGGCTTGAATCTGGCGGGGTTCGTGTGAAAAACGTCCGACTGTCGACCGGTTACGGCCGCAGAACCTGAGCCGCGGCGGCGCGGCCGAGGAGGGGGGTCGGCCTCGCGCGCGCGCGCTGTGCGCGGAGGGGCCGGAGGGGTCACGCAGCCGCGGTCCGAAGGAGGGCATGTATGGGCAGGCTGCATCAAAAGGAACTGTCGACCTCCTCAGCTTTCTGTTACCCTGGCTAGCCTGAAGTCGAAAAACGGCCACGGCCCGGCGACCTTCGGCGACGGCCACGGCGACGCTCGGGCCCCCCCATATATATTCCTTTTTGTATGTTTCAGAGCAGGCTCATTGCTCAGCCCGGGCCCCCCAGCCCCAGCCTCCACAGTTCCCAAACCTAGGCCCTGACCAAACTGTACACACAGCCTCGCACATTTTGCGAGTAATAGCTCAAGCTTTGTTCCTTACCTAAAAATCTTTGAAATAATGTATTTATTGTATTTTTAAGGACCTTGCACCACTCGGACGTACGTACCACCGTGGGTCAGAAGACCGATGGAGGCCGCCAAAATTCGAGACGCGTTTTGAGCTTCACAGTCACCAAATGAGACTCGAGCTCCAGAGTCGCTAAAGGGCACTTGAACCGAACGTGTGACCCCACCAATGGATCGCTCTCCGAACGAGGAATCCATTGGTGGGGTCACACGTTCGCTTCGAGTCCTTTTTAGCGACTCTGGAGCTCGAAACGCGTCTAAGTTTTGTCCGCCTGCGCCGGTCTTCTGGCCCACTGTGCGCACTGAGCACCGACTGACAGCGAATGCCTCTGAGTGCAACGCGCGCTTCGCCAGCTGGCTGATCAAACAGTGCACCGCGTTGTCGGCACACTTCCACTAATGATTTCCGCGCCCCTGCGCCGCGTGTCCCTTCCGAAGGGCGCCCAGCGCAGCGGTGCCAACCGCGCAAAAGAGAAATAAGAACACAAACAAAAACTCGTAAAAAAACGCTTTTTACCCGCCTCCATGATTTTTCTTTATTTCGAATAATTTGTGGGCGTGAGTTTGGCAGGAAAGTGTTTTGCAGTGTGGCACCGACGAGCTGCTGCTGCAGCAGTGCGGCACTGTGCAAGCATTCATTAGGTTGATGTATGCACACATGGCCGATGCCGCTGCTGCAGCAGTGCAACGAATTATGCAGGTCTCGAGCAAAAACACGTTCAAGTTTTCGACCGCCGCCGCTTAGAGGAAAAGCTGCGCAGTCATTCCCGTCCCGATGCAAGTTGCAGGACTGCTGTGAATAATGCGAGAGAACAATTATTCAAAACTTCCGCGTTCTCTAAGTGGGATCGTTTTGGATGACGTATTGTGCATCCGATTGCTTCTTTAATCGCTTACCTGTTTACTGCGTAATTTTTTATGTTTTTTTTTGCGGTCCGAAGCGACCGGATAAGGATGTAAATCACTCGTAATGAGGCACTGTCATCCAGGCGGGCCGATACACGGCCTGGCTTTTAGTCGATGCCCGGCGGCCCCGCGGCGAAGGCCGAGGCGAGGCCGAGGGCGGATTACGCTACGCTGGAAAAAATAAATCATGAATATGTCCGGAATGTGCGGAGAAAATGGGGAAACTGTGGCCGGATGAACCTATTCGTAAATTCACGAAGATTCTTGTTAATTGACGAAGGTTCTTCGTTTTGTAGGTCCACAAATACTCTTCTTGAGTTCACGAGGATTCTTCTTAAGTTCACGAAGATTCTTTTTCAGTTAACGAAGATTCTTTGTAAATTTACGAAAGAACTTTCGGCAACCATTTTCCAGCGACACCTTTGGAAATTCTGGCCATTTTTTTCTTGCACTGTACGTACTTTGGAAAAAGAAAAACGAAAATCATGTCAAAAACGTAAAACAAACACGGAAACCGTGTAGACGGTTGAAAAAAAAAACTGCGTCGTCGTCCCGTTTGTCATTTGAATGCGTTCCCGACTCCTGATTGGGTCGATTGGTACCAACTTCATCGACAGAAAAGTTTGGCACTTTAGTGCCGACTCTCCTTATTTTTATTTTTGACCTCACAACGGCTAGTCACTTTTCCGCATCTGGCTCGGCGGAGGCTGAACGACATGCTCTGAGTAAAACGGAGTGAAAAGGGCCAAAGAGGAAAACTGGGTGTCCCACTGCTCAGTACACGTAAAGGGCCGCGAGGCGCGGGGCGGCGAGGCACAACTCGATAAACAAGGACGGAAAAATTGAGCCCCGACGAGGAAAAGGCGAGCAGTGCGCGTATTGGCTTGGCAAACAAACAGGGCTCGTTGTGGAAGGTTGCCTACCCTGGGCCGGTCTGTGGTCTCTGTGGCACTTTGTGGCCGGCATAGCCAGCGCGGCGGGGCGGTCTTGTAAACTTGGATGGCGCCGTCTCGGTACGGCGCCCCGCTGCACAGTGGGCCAGAAGGCCGGTGGAGGCGGTCCAAATCTGGAACGCGTTTTGAGCTCCAGCGTCGCTAAATGAGCTCGAACCGAACGTGTGACCCCACCAATGGATTCCTCGTTCGGAGAGCAATCCATTGGTGGGGTCACACGTTCGGTTCGAGTCCCATTCAGCGACTCTGGAGGTCAAACCGCGTTTGGGATTTTGGCCGCCTCCACCGGTCCTCTGGCCCACTGTGCGCTGTGGGACTGGGCCATGCTCGGCCAGCGTTGCCCGAGGTGGCCAATTCCGCGCACCAATTGTTCCCCGGGAGGAAGGCATGGACAGCGAGGACGCCACGCCACTGCCGGAAGCGCGGTTGTTTTTGACAGTGTTTGTGACGGCGGTGTTGACCATCCCGCACAGTGCAGGCACACTGCAGGCACGGTGCTGCAGTGTAGTGTACAGCAGTGGCCGGCAGGCAGTGCGCCACCACCGCCGTTGCATGCTAACTGCGATGCTGCCGTCCCGGCCACTCTCCGCAGAGCAGTGTTGCCGCAGAGGCGGCCAAAATTCCAGACGCGTTTTGAGCTCCAGTCACTAAATAGGACTCGAACCGAACGTGTGACCCCACCAATGGATTGCTCTCAGAACGAGGAATCCATTGGTGGGGTCACACGCTCGGTTCGAGTCCCTTTTAGCGACTCTGGACCTCAAAACGCGTCCCATGTTCTTGGCCGCCTGTGCTGCCAAGCGCCCGCGAACTGCCGGATAGGCAAGCCCGCCACGCTGCCGTGCACTCACGTTGCCTGCTCGGGCGCCTGGCCGCGCTGCGGTACTTTTGGCCGCGCTGCTCCGGTGTCGCCTCGTCTCGCCTCGTCTCGCGTTTCGCCGCTGCACTGCGCAGTGCTGTCCGGCCTCGGCGCGGCTCGGCGCGGAGAGACGCGGTAAGACGCCTTTCCCTTGTCTCTCCTCGTCTCCGTCTCTCCCGCCTCGCTGCCGCCACTCCGGCGGGGACGTATCGGCATACGGCCCGCGCCATTGTGGTGCCGTGGAGTGCAGTGCCGCGCAGCGCCAAGTTTCGCTCCTCTAAGTAAACTGCAGTGCGACGAGGGCAAGACGGCACTCTGCCGTGTTATGCCCGTCTCAGTGTCGTTGAAGGTCCTTCTACCAGGTCCTAGCAGGTTCTCTTGGGTTCTATCAGGTCCTACCGCAGGTCCTACCAGGTCCTACCGGGTTTTACCAGGACCTATTAGGTCTTATCAGGTTCTACTAGGTCCTACCAGGTTTTACCAGGACCTACCAGACCCCACCAGGTTCGACTAGGTTCTGCCAGGTTTGACCAGGTCCTGCTCCACTGCAGGAAATAGCCACAACAAAAGTACACAAATTTCTGGCAAATTTTTTATCAGGAATTTAGTGTACTTTTTAAGTACAACAATTGTACAAAGTACAATGGAACCGGCATGAGGACTGCTGTGCAGTCCAGGGCTCGTTGTGGTTTGTACAATTCTCGTTGTACTTTCTACAACCCCTTTTGTACTTTAATTGTACAGTTTCTGTTGTACTTTTGTTGTACTATCTACACTTTTTCTTTGCAGTGTCGGTCCTACCACCAGGAGGTGCTATCCGTTCCGACAAGGTCCCACTCGCCCCTACCAGGTTCTGTTAGCTCCTATCAAGTCCTTCCAGATCCTAGAAGGTCCTGCTGGGTCCTTCCAGACCAGGTGCCATACTGCTCGGCATTGCAGCAGTGCGGCGCCGTAGAGCGGATCTTTTTACACCACTCCGAATACACTTCCGCCCCCTATTGTCTCTGTCTCTTTGCACCAGTCCGAAAGACGCAATTTCGTTTTAGAAATACCGGACTTAAAAGATACTTAGAATTTGTTTTTCATTTTCTAATTTATTTAATTTTTGTCGTTTATTGTTTTGAAATCTACCCATTACTCATTCGTAGTAAACTGATAGTGGCATGGACCTCACTTCACAGAGCTCTTGTGCTTCACTGAAAGTAAAACCATGCAACGACATGTTTTTCTTCTTTTTTCGGCTGCGTGTCGATGCTCCGGTATTCTTCCCAGATTGAAATTGGCGGCGAGAAGCGAGGCTACAAACGTCATTCGCAGGCACCATCCTAAAGGTTGCATATCTGCTGCAGACTGTATGCGGCGGCCATGGCCTGGCGTGGCAGTGGCGTGGCAGTAGCGTTGCCGAGCGACGCGGAGTGCATACAAGATAGTCGCACGCTGCAATGCGTATCCGAGAAAGGGGGAGGGGTGGGGGGAGGGGGGACGTCTACTGGAGGAAAAGGGCCGTGCTGGAGGCTGCCGGGGAGGCGTGGAGGGGGAAGCCGCGGCAGAATGTACCTCCCAGGCTCTCCGGGTCTGTTGTGTTCGTTCGCCAGGTGAAACGAGGCTCTTAAATACACGGGCGAGAACCGCGCCACGCGGCGCCACGCGGCCCCGGGAGGGTGTTAGTTTTCTATCACGGCGGTGTGTGTTCAGTCTCAATCCGCGCGCGGCGCGGGACAAGCTTACGTTTACCGGCGGGTTACCCCGCGCGGATCGCCTGGGGACGAGGAAAAGAGCAGGACAAGCAAGGACGTTATTAACACTCTGAAAAGAAGAAAAAAGGTTGTGTTTCGCTGGGTGGGTATTTCGCCACAATGACAGCGCAAGCAGCAGGCAGCAAAGTCCATGCACAGTGTGCCAGAAGACCGGTAACCGGTAGAGGCGGCCTAACGTTTTGAGCTCCAGAGTCGCTAAACAGGACTCGAACAGATCGAGTGACCTCGCACCAATGGATTCATCGTTCGGAGAACAATCCATTGTTGTGGTAACACTTTCGGTTCGAGTTCCATTAAACGACTCTGGAGCTCAGAACGCGTCCTGTTTTCTGGCCCACTGTGCCAGCTGCCTGGTTTGCCATGTTTTTTTTCGTGCGTGTGCAATGTAAGGGGGAAACTATCGCATCATTCCGCATCGTTGCGCAAGTCTTGTGTTTTTCAAAGGTGTTTTCGAGTGTAGAGCGTCATTGCGTTTGGCTTTATTGATCAAACCATTGCGAGGTGACGGCCTGTGTTGTGCTGGCGGGGCTGGTGGGGCTAGCGCGGTGTGCGTTCTGCGTCTGGTTACGACCGCGGCTCGGGGCTCGTACCATTTTGTTGCAGTGTTATTACGCCTAATCTGCTAGTTTTCAGCCTTTTGCTCGGCCGTAGGAGGGAACGCCCTTATTCCAGTGGCGCGTTGGGAACGCCCTTATTCCAGTGGCGCGTTGGGAACGCCCTTATTCCAGTGGCGCGTTGGGAACGCCCTTATTCCAGTGGCGCGTTGGGAACGCCCTTATTCCAGTGGCTGAGTTACAGTTCGGTTGGAACGCCCTTATTCCAGTGGCGCGTTGGGAACGCCCTTATTCCAGTGGCGCGTTGGGAACGCCCTTATTCCAGTGGCGCGTTGGTTGCGCAAGACGCAAAAACACTTTAAAAATTGCGTGAAGAAAAGGGGAAAAAATGCCCGGATGCGTTTTGAGTTCCATAATCGTTAAACAGGTCTCAAAATGATCTTGTGGCCCCTCCAATCCACTGGTGAGGTCACACGTTCGGTTCGAGTCCCATTCAGCGACTCTGGAGCTCAAAATATGTCTGGGCCTTTGACTTCCTCCACCGGTCTTCTGACCCACTGTGCGCGGGGCCGAGACGAGTCAGGCGGCCGGCAGCAGGGTCCGTAATTGGCGCGAATTGTCGTGGTTTTGAACTTTGAAATCGGGTAATAAGTTGGGTCTGCCACCCCTTCCGTCGCCACACCGCGGTGCCGTTGGCCTTTGCGGCGTCTGGAAAGCATAAACGTGTTTTTCTCTCAAGGAGATGGCACAAGAAGAATTTCTCCTGCACAAGACAAACTCAGTTTGGAAACATCTCCCTCCCCCTCCTCCCTTTTCCCTTCTTTTCCCTTCCCTTTCTCACTCGAAATTAAACCTAAACAAGATCCATTGTGGGGCGCGGCGACGCGGCACGCGAAAGAAGTGTAGGGGCAAAAAGAAGCAAGGCCTAATTTACTTAGAGGGCTGCAACGCGCAGAACGCAACGCGGCGTGTTTTGTGGCGGGTATCTCTGTCCAAGAACAGGGCCGCCACCACCACCTCCTCCCCCCTCCTCCTTAACCACCACCTCTCCCTCCTCCTCCCCTTCCTCCTCCTCCTCCTCCTCCTCCTCCTCCTCCTCCTCCTCCTCCTCCCCTCTCCTCCTCCTCCTCCTCTCCTCCTCCTCCTCCTCCTCCTCCTCCTCCTCCTCCTCCTCCTCCTCCTCCTCCTCCTCCTCCTCCTCCTCCTCCTCGACCAGCTGCCGTTGAGTTACTTTTCGAGGCAGAACCAGATCTTTCGCCCAGCAGCCTTCAACTGCTTTCAAAACAAAATTTGTGACTCACAATTTTTGCTAGGCGAACGTCACTTTGTCCAAAGGTACCTCCGGAACTGCTGGAGATTTATTTTGACAGTGGCGTGGACCGGTGCGTGCTCGCTCGCGAGTGCGAGAGAGACGGCGGCCGAGTGGGACGCGTACCGCCCGGTCCGGCCTTGCCCGGTCCGGCCTTGCCCGGTCCGGCCTTGCCCGGTCCGGCCTTGCCCGGTCCGGCCTTGCCCGGTCCGGCCTTGCCCGGTCCGGCCTTGCCCGGTCCGGCCTTGCCCGGTCCGGCCTTGCCCGGTCCGGCCTTGCCCGGTCCGGCCTTGCCCGGTCCGGCCTTGCCCGGTCCGGCCTTGCCCGGTCCGGCCTTGCCCGGTCCGGCCTTGCCCGGTCCGGCCTTGCCCGGTCCGGCCTTGCCCGGTCCGGCCTTGCCCGGTCCGGCCTGATGCCGACAAGTGGCCACTACACTACCCCGAGCAGCCCCGGCGGCTCCTCTCCTTGGCATCCCAAGCAGGTGGCAGAGGTTGCGGCTGCAGACTGATTCCGAGAGTCGTTTTCGTCGCCCTGTCTCTCTCGCACCTATACGGGACGCCCCTCGCGCGCGAGAGAGACACAGCGACGAAAACGACTCTCAGTCTGCAGTCCGGCGTCCAGTCGCGGTCCGCTGCTGTGGACTCTTCAAGTTTGCGGCTCTACGCCCTAAAAAGGGGAGGGGGGGGGATGCTGCCGTCCGCACGCCCGGAAGCGGGTTTGTCTCGGCCAGGGAGGGGAAGTGGAGGGGGTGATGGAGAGGTCGACAAACAGAGTGTCCTGCAGTACACACAGCCTTTGTGCCCGCGATACACGCCGAGGGAAGAGCCAGTCGAAGAAAAAATCGCGCGACAGAAACCTTAATTCATTGATGGTGTGCCAGTCTTAGCTTGATAAAGCTCGCTTGATTGGGCGATCTATTGTTATCACGCCGTCCTTAGTTGCTGGGCATACAGTGTACAGTGGGCCAGAAGACCGGTGGAGGCGGCCATAACTCTAGAAATGTTTTGAACTCCAGAATCACTAAACATGACTCGAACCGAGCGTGTGACCCCATCAATGGATTGCTCTCCGAACGAGTAATCCATAGATGGGGTCACACGTTCGGTTCGAGTCACGTTTAGCGACTCTAGGGCTCAAAACGCGTCTAGAGTTTTGACCGCCTTATCGGTCTTCTGGCCCGCTCTGTGCATCATCCATCACAACGCAAAGTCTAGCCTAAACGGTCAAGGCGCCAGCCGGTCTGACCCTTTGGAGTGGGCGTTTTTTCCCCGCCTCCGCCGCCCCTACAAGAGTCATTTTCTCCACATTGCCTGATCGATATAGATCGCCCCCGCATATTTCGCTGTCATCGCCTGCACCCCCGCGGGGGGCGGTTCTTAAGCCCCCCTAGGCCCCCCTGCAAGCCCCCCCCCTCCCTCCCCCGGATGCAAACACCTCCATCATTTCGCTCCGGACCATTAGGCGGGGACAGGAAAACAAAGCAGCACACACACAGGGACGGGCTGGGCCGCGCGGTGGGGTCGAAAAACGCAAAACAAGTGGGAGGGATAGCTTTTGTTCCGTTTATGAGGTTTGTGATGAGGCACTTTGGGGATCTTGTAGGCGGCCAGGTTGGCGGCCACGTAGGCGGCCGGGTTGGCGGCCAGGTTGGCGGCCAGGTTGGCGGCCAGGTTGGCGGCCAGGTTGGCGGCCAGGTTGGCGGCCAGGTTGGCGGCCAGGTTGGCGGCCTGGTTGGCGGCCAGGTTGGCGGCCTGGTTGGCGGCCAGGTTGACGGCCAGGTTGGCGGCCAGGTTGACGGCCAGGTTGGCGGCCAGGTTGGCGGCCAGGTTGGCGGCCTGCTGGTTGGCGGCCAGGTTGGCGGCCTGGTTGGCGGCCTGGTTGGCGGCCTGGTTGGCGGCCAGGTGGCGGCCGGGTTCGTGACCCGGCCGGACCCGGCACAACTGCAGGTTCACTGTCCTCCGAGGCCGTGGCCATCGAGGTCGTCTTTATCTATGCATGTATCTGCATGCTTTTTTTGTTAGTTTTCAGTCGTTTTTTTTTCACCGAATTGACACGAACGTTGTTTTAGAAAAAGAATCCAACTTGTTTCCCAACTCCGAAACTGTGTCGGCCGAATCTTGGCGCGCTAGTTTGACGTGTGCTTGCATACTTAACTCGCTCCAACTCGGCGGCGTCCGTGGGGCGTCCGCGGACGTCAAACTGAGCCGGTTAATGAATGATACGCCTCGCG